CAGAAAAAAAATTTTAAATGGAGAATTCTGTCCCGTTTAATTTTGACAAAATTTGGCCAAGGACTTTAGTCCAATTATGGAGCAACTAACATATCATTACATCATATTATCGTGATAGGTTGCTTGGGCCCCAGGACGTGGTGCTAAAGGGAAAGAGTTTGATCCGAGTTGGGACGTGAACACTGGTATCAGTAACATATCATGGGACAATGTGAAGACAAAGTCACAAGTGGAAGCACTGGGTAATGGAGGTGTGGTTGATACTAGATCTAGTACACTCCCACCTCAGCTACGGGAAGAAGAAATAGCTGAAGTTGAAATGGAGAGTTAAGAACATGTACATCAATAATAATAATAATAATAATAATAATAATAATAATAATAATATTTTAATTTGTTTTTTTTTCTAATTTTTTGTATGATACAATAAAGTAGGCTAAACTTACATCGTACATGTCCTCTGAGCAAAGAATGTCTTTGCTTTGAGTAACTAAGTTACACGGTTGACGATTAGCTGGACTTTCTGATTAAATTACAAAATTAAGAGAAAGAAACTGCAATTGGGAGATACAAAGAAATTGGAATAGGATAATAAGGTACAAAATTCAGCAAAAATTATAATAAACTCCAAAAGATTATAGGGTAGTATGCTTGTAAGCTAAGAATATGCAGCAGTTTATGTATCAAATGTTCATCCTTTCCAATGACTCTATTACTTGAGCCATAGTAGGACGAGCTCTAGGATCAACATTAAGTCCTCTTTGTATGAGAGATTTCATATCAGACCAGGAGACACTACCAGCTTGTACTTCTCTCTCTGATGTCGTCATTTCTAGTTTAGAGTGCAAATTCATTTCCATAAGGAGAACAGAGTAACTGTAGACATCCATTGCTGGACTGTGTTGATCAGGAATAGGAGCTTCTGGTGCAGCATATGCAGCAGTGCCTGGCATAACAGTACCAGTACTTTCAGCTTGCACTACTTTAGCTGTACCATAATCTGCTACTTTAGCTTCATAACCAGCAGCTCCAGTGCAAGGCCTTAATAATACATTAGGACTGCTCACATCTC